AACACAATGAACCAGTTCTCAGAAAAATAATTCCTCTTCATCCTGTGAGTAAAACCCTCTGGGACTTGCTTCTCTCCTGCCACAGGCTTTGCAGAGGCACTTACACCTGTGCAAACCAGTGAAAAAAATAGTGATTAAATATGCTGGAATGGCTTTAGGAACATCGCCATGCAGCTTGCACAGAAGTAAATGATGGTGCAGGACTGGAAAATCAAGGTTTGTTTATTGAAAGCAGCCCTTCCACTCCCAGGGTCAGGCCTGTGGTTTGGAAGATGATACAGACAAGGTCTCAGATGAAAAACAGGTTGTGCTTGTACTTTTGAAATCTTCATTATAACGTGTTCTTGTGAGGATTAATGTTCTGTAGAAAGTCTTCTGGTTTATACAGCTAATCTGACGCTTGCCAAATCATAGAAGAAATTGTATATGAAAATTAATTTTGTTCCTCGTTGTTCTATTTACTTTGGAGGTCACTGCTCCTTTCCTCTTTATGCAATCTAAGCAAAACCCACCAGAGCAGAGCTTTGATCTCCAGGCAATCACAAACCTCATTAAACCTGACAGGCACGCTGGCCGTGCTTTGTTCAGGAAGGAGCAATTCAATTCTTTTATGGCATAAGACTACTGAAGACTGGAAACCACTGCCCATGGCAGAGGGCTGCGTGGCCAAGCACTGGGATGAGCGGGCTTGTATGAGCAAGCACTAATTTGGGGAAAGTCAGAGCCATTTCTCGAGGGACTGCTTGCGGATGCGGCAGCAAGAGCACAGATTGGTTGCAGCTGTGTTTGCCTGTGTGCATGTCCGGGGCCGGAAACACCATGCAAGAGCCAGCAGACAGTGGGAGAAGCAGTGGTGTATGGCCCTGAGAAAAAGCCAAGGGACAGCTTCTTCTGGGCAAGGATCCTGGCTAGAGCAGCAAACTTGGACTGCCGCGCAGCACTCCCTCCCATTTGCTTCCTCTGCGTGCAAGGAAATGGGACATGGCTGTACATTCTTTGTAAATAAATAGGATTACGCTAAGGAGCTAACTGAATTCATCATCGATCCCCCCTCCCAGTCCTCCAAATAAAACATGGCAAAGTGCTGAATATTAGTTAACTGTGTGGGTCAAAGTTCTGTACTTGGAACTACAGGGCTTGCCAGTACTGCTAAAATGGTCACTGGAGACCCTGCAGGTATCAAGGCAGTCTCTGAAATTCAGACCTCAAAACAACAGTTGATCATTTCCATTGCTGATGACCCTTCATGGATTTTTAATGCCTGGTATTTCTACAATGCGTATTGAAAGTAGCTTTTATGGAATAATAACAAGAAAATGTATTCTCTGATTCCTTGTTTGGAGTGTCTAATATAGTCCAGATGTATCTGTTGAAAAGAAATGCGGTCAGATATATAGTTGTGAAACATGTACATGAGTAAGATGTTTGATACACTGAGCTGTTTTGAATAGTTTCTTTTATCTGTGTTATCTTACAGTGTCTTCTTACCAAGCTGCTATCTGCATCAAAGCTCTTGCAGGTTTATGTCTGTATTTAGCCCCTCACGGCAACTGCATCATACATGTCCGATTGTCCCTCTCCATTTGAGGGTAGGCTCATGCCAGCACAGCTGAATAAAGCAGCATGATTCAAGTGTGATCAAGTTGAAGACGTACCTGCTCATTGCAGGGGGGTTGGAGCCGATGACTTTTAAAGGTCCCTTCTAACCCAAACTATTCTGTGAGTCTGATTTTATGAAGTCACTGTCCAAGAGTGTACTCTGACAATTCTGCAATAGGATGTGAAGGCTTAACCTTCTTCAGTGGGAAGTAAAAGGCAGACTTGCAGCCAAGGGTAAGACTGGGAAAATACCCCAACTACCTCTTTTCTTTGGTTTTTCACTCTAGGAGACAGTTACAGTCTGACAGAAGTTTGATAGCATGGCTTCAGAGAAGCCTTACTAATGGGGAATACAAACCTGGGAGGACAAAAACCAAACACAGAAAAGCTGCTTTTAACTCCAGCTACATTTATCAATCAGTTTTGTGTTAGACATCTCCAGTGCAGCACAGGGGGTGCCTGGGGCCCGGAATGAGCAGCTGGTGTTGCCTAAGGGCAAGGCTGTGTTACTTTTGGCAGCAGCGCCGGCAATAGCTGGCTGGAAGGAGTTGTGAAAGTATGGCCTGTGGGGGCACTTGTGTTTTATGCTGACGTGTGTGCCGGCTGCCACCGAAACAGGCCCTCTCACTGGCTCGTCCTGGCACTGGTGTTTGCTCGGCTGCGGGATCAGCTGGCTGCCAAAATTGATCCCACTGAAAACTTCTCCTTTGTTTTTAAACTAGATTAGCTTTCAGCTCTGTTGGCTAGCGGATCTAGCTTAACATGTGGCTGCATGAATGTTGGAGCCAGCAGAGAGGAGGCATCAGGAAAGCATGACTAAGGGAAGGGAAAAGGATGGAATAATCTCTTTTGCCAATAGCACAGTCTCAGCTTGGCTTAACCCCCGTAAATCTACCTCTCAGGGTAAAATTACCTGTTACAGCTTGAGTCACTTTAATAGCTTGCTTCCACAGAAAGGGAAGAATCTTGTTTTCCTCACTCCTCTCACGTTACACCTGGTGACTGAACTGGTGTAACCCATTGAATCAGCAGAAAGCTCACCCTGGCAAAGAAAAGGGAGTAGTGTTCTGCTGGCGTAGTGGGTGAATCAGCTCAGTAACACATTTGCCAAGGCTGCAGAGCTGGTACAGGCAGGGAAGGCAGCAGCAGCGGGCTCTGAGGTCTCTGACTGAACACAGCACACAGATTCTGGCTCAGAAATCCCTGCTGTAACGCTTAGCAAAACAGTCACAATCTGGGTTCTCTATGCAGTTTACAGATGACAATAGGCACTATCCCTTTGTCTTACAACAAATGTGGTGTTTGTCTGATAAAGCTGGAAGTTGCCATTGGTCTATAATTCCTTCCACACTCCTCCCTATTTTCAACCCTCCTGTGGGTGACATCTGTCCTAACACTTCCCTCCAAGAGGGCCTCTCCTTTGAGCCTAGATTTCCCTTGGGTTTATTTCCTTATTAGATAGGGAAATATTGCCACAGATCTACTAATGCTCTTTTGCATCAGCCAGAACTTTTCTCTGAAGCTTCAACAAATGGTCCCTGATGTTGCTTCAGGAACACAATGTGCTCTCAGATGTGGGAATGCAAGCTCATAAGCAAGCTGCTATCAAAAGACCTCTATAAACAACAACTGGTTAAAAAGAATACAGAAAGATGAACTCATGTGTGTGCAAAACAGGTGGTGGTGTGCAACTCTAGTGCTCAGATAGTAGTAAAATGCCTAAATTATATTTGATGTGCTCAGGACAGTCATGGCACACTTAAGCGTGGCACTGGCTGGGCACTGTCTCCACGCACCAAGAACAGAAATTCCATGCTGTGCTTGCCCAAGTTTAGGCTTTCATCTTTTGAAAGAAGTCCAGGCAAAGAGGGACAAGAACATCTTCAAATGAAGAGCAGATATCACAGGTGGGCAGGTGTCCACTCATGCTGATACAGCTCCTCTTCTTTTATAAGGGGACAGAGTAGGACCAGTGCAAAGAATTAGTGGTGAATAAAATGTACTCTAAAAATATCTCAGGAAAAAAAGCTGGATGAGAAATGTATGAACTTAATAATGAGTGAGGAATCCAAAATGCCCTATTGCTGATGGTGTTTTAAACCATAAAATCACAGAGAAGATTAGAAGAATGAGGAAGTTCTTGATATAAAAATGGCTGTTGGGGAAGTGTAGACGAGGGATACTTTGAAAACACGAAGTACAAGCACTGGGATTTCACTTGAACACAGTCTGGGTAGTGGAGGAGTGGATTAAGCTACCACTTTTGAGAAACTAGGATGATCTGGTGATGGACAGATGGACAAAGGAGATGATGGACAATTAGGAAGAAACAAGCAGGATGTTAAGAGCACTTTAAGGTCTCAGTTGCTTTTGTGCAGCAGCTCTGCCTTCCAGGGCTGCTTTCTGGTTGACAGTGGATGAAATACCCCAGTGTATGAGCACTCTGAAGTGGTTTCCAAAAACACTTGTCCTTGATCCAACTGTTAAGTCCAGCTGAGAGGCCAGGCCAGGCATCACGAGGGAAGGCAAGGAAGAGGAGACTGCTTCCTCTTCTGGCTGCAGTGAAGTGGGGAACCACAGCTTCGGCATGTTATTGAATGGGTTTAAAATTCCAGGTTCCTAAACAATTGGCAGAAAGATGTCAGCTGCATGAGGGAACTCCATCTGAGAGAAATACGGTATACCCTGTGACATTACTTGTGTGGGTACTCCTGAATGTGAACAGACTCCACCATGCTGACGAGTGACGCGACTGCACTGGGTGAGTGAAAAGCAGGGGAGTGACAGGGGTGCAGGAGGCAGAGTACAGGCGTTTGGGAACAGCTTCTGCATAGTGTTTCACAAATTCTAATTCAGAAGTTCAGTTTGGCTTTGATGTGAGACTTGTTGACTGAGATCTAACAGAAGGACTGCAAGGAAGATACAAAGCACAAAGATCCTCTGTGGTCTCAGCACTTCCAGCTGCGGTTTCACAGTCCTGTAAGCTGAGGGTCCTCCCAGGCAGATGTGGAATCCATCGTGCTCCATCCCCCTGGGACTAGACCGTGTTAGTGCAGGAGACCTGCCTAGTTTTGACAGGCCATGGTACTCTCCAACAGATTCACTGCTAGGAAATGGTACAGCCAGTGTGTTAAAGCAAACACGAATACATCTCCATCCCTTCAGAAAGCACATAAGGATACCTGGCTAAGATGTTAATTGTTTAATGAGTGCTCTCAGGATGTGGAAGATGCTCGTCCGGATCGCCACCCAGCAGTGCTCCTCCTTAGGCTGCGCAGCGCTCGCTGGGGAGCTGTAGCCTCAAGTTTAATTTGGCAGGGTTAATAAACAACAGAACCCCGTCAGCATCTCGGCGGAGGCACACGCAGCCTGGCCACGAGCTGAGGGAACAGGCATTCACCGCCTGTTAGCGAGGCCGCCCGTTCCTCCCTCCCTCCCTTCCTCCCTCCGGGCAGCCTCAGGGCCTTTCTTTGCCTCTCGCCAGCGAGTGGAGGAGGAAGAGCCGCCGCAGCAGCGCCTGCCCCGGGGCCGATCGGCGGCCGCTGGCCAAGGTGGGTGGGCGCACCCGGGCCGGGGCTGCGGGCAGCAGCTCCTGAGCCACCGACAGCTTCTGCAGAGGCCGGGGCCGGGGCCTGGGCCTGCCCACCCGTTCTGTGCCGAGCGGCGGCGAGGAGGGGCGTGCAGCCGGGCGGACAGCGGGTGCCGGCCCTCGGCATCGCCCGCCGCCACTGACCGCGCTCGCCGGGGTGAGAGGGGGCACCGGGCCTAGCGCGCTGGGCCGGGACAGGCGGGTCGGCGGGAGCAGAGGCCGACAGGCTGGGGCCCGGCGAGGGGGCCGGTCTGGACGCGGCGTGGTGCGGATTCCGCGGCTGCCCGCTCCCTGCGCCTGCCCCAGCCTCTCCGCGCCCCGCGGGCCGGCATGGTGAGTAGCGGGGGCAGGCGGCGGTGCGGCCCGCGCCCGGGCGGCAGGAGAGGCAGGCCCTGACGGGCGGGTGAAGGCCCCGGCATTGTGCGGTCTGGGGGGGGGGCGGCACGGTCGTTGGTTCGGGTGGCAGCGCTGCTCCCGCCTCGGTCCTTCTATGCCTTGCAGGGAGGGCCCTTCCCGATCAGCGGTGCCCGGCGGGGCGGCTGTGCCCCCGGGAGCGGGGCCGGGCGCGGCATGGCCCTCCAGGCGCGTGTCGGGGATCCCGGAGGAGCGGGGCTGTAGGCAGGAGCACGGAGAGAATGCCTGCCGGGGGACGGGAGAGCGAGCGCAGCAGCGGACGTTGGCGCTGCTCGGTCGGCATGCCAGGCTCTGAGGAGGACACCGTATGCTTGGGGCTGCGACTGCGCTGAAGCAGCGTTGCTTGTTCCTCCAGGCCTTTCAGGAGTTCTGAAGGCTGAACGTGTTTGATCCACCTGGTTCTTATGGGAAAAGTTTGGCCATGGTTTAAAGCATGGCCACTTTCTTCAGCTCTTCTTGGCTGCCTGGATACCCGCTGCACCCAGGGTTCGATAGTTCCATGTTACAAGTGTCTACATTGACCCTCCATTAAGTTGTGGGTCCTCTAGATGGTGGTTAAGATCGTTGCTGCTGGAGGGAGGAGCTTCCATCACCATTCCTCCTACCTTGTTTGTGCGAGACCCCTTTCTGGGCAGATTCAACACACCAGCCTGACAGAAAGGTGGGGAAATTGCTTGTAAGAGGCCTGACAAGGACTGGCGTCCTTGCAAAGGAGGGGAGACAAGAAGTCTGACTAGCTCAGTTGCTTGTGGAAATGCAGCCTGACTCGATCAGGTTTTGTTTGGATCCCTTGCACGCCATTGCAGGAAGCTTGTAATTCAAGAGCTACCTTCTTGTTTTGTTTGAAGGTTGGTGAAATTTTGGTTCTGCTTTCAGCCTGCTTCTGTCATTAGCCTGTGTCTGTGCTGAGAAGCACGCTAAGTGAATGTCTCTGGAGTGTGTGGAAAAGCCACTGTGGTTATTTTTGCATTTAGGTTTTGTTTTCTTTGGCTGTTCATCTTCCTAATGATAAACTCTGCAAGTGGCTCTTCCTGAGGTGGGTGACATCTGCTGGGTTTGTACCCAGAGAGCTTATGTAGCTCAGGTGACAGAAAAAAACCACTGTGCCTTTTGGGCCGTGTGCTACGTGTGGGGAATTCCGGGGCCATCCAAACCTGGATCAGAAGTTACACAGTGGAGAAGCTGAAATGTTGCTGCAGTTTCTCACAAAAGGACCAGGTTGCTAATACAAAGGGATGTTTCAATCCATGGATGACTTGCTCACAGAAATTAATGTCCTAACCAAGACAGAAGTTCAGCTGCTCCAACCAGTCATACGGGTTTTCAGTATTGTTGGTTTGGTGGTCGTGGTGTTGTAAGAAGGGGAAAAAAAACCCTTGTAGACTTGCCCATTTCCTTTTTAAAAAATCTGAGGGTTTTAATGATGTCATATAATGGTTTGGAAGTTCAGTTACATTTATAAAGCGTAATTATTTAATTGGATAAGTGGGGTTGGAATGAAACAGAACAGTTTTATTTGGATCCTGAAACGTTTTTGTGTATCTTTCCTGTATTTTTAGGAGCATGAAAGTCTTCCGTGTTTGTCCTGCAATTTTAATGGAACGTGTTGTAGTAAGCATTTTCTGCAGTGGTTTGGAGTCCTCACTTTCAGGCATGCAGAGCTGCTCTCCCAGCTCCCTGAGAAGTGAAATCCTTCCTGCTAAAGGAGGTGGAGCACAGCAAATGGAGAACTGACATTTTAATAACTGACATTTGTAGTTATTACTCTCTTAATACAGAAGCCAAACCAATCTCTGTGCTGTTTCTGAGGACTAGTTATAAAGAGGAAGATTCAAGAGTATAGGGCAAAATCACGGTCATCTCATCATCCCATTCTATTTAGGTGTAATAAGGTGGAAGAGAAGCACTGCTTATTCTAGTGTTGAAGTGCTTCAAAATCACGCTCTCACAGAAACTGAACTCGCTGAATGGAATCTGTGGTCTTGCAGGAAACCTTAGGTAGTAGTGGAGTCCTTAGAGCTTTTCTCTGAGGCTTTGTCCCTAGCTGTAATGGTTCTTTGGGCTTCCTCTGCCCAATGACCTTAGTCCTGAGGTTGAGTAGAAAAGATGGCAACTTTTTCAAACTCTCCCTGTTCAAACAAGGGAATACCTCTCCTTGTCACTGGAAAAGCATGTGAGGTTTGCTTACACCTGTCGTGGTTTAAGCCCAGCTGGCAACCCAGAACCACATTTCTCAAGAATGGCTTTTACTGAGAAGTCTCACTGGGACTGTATGGGTCCTCTTGTGAAAGAAACTCGGAACTGACCTTGCTTTTCTTACCTGTAGTGATCTTTGCTTTCCTTGGATCAGTGGTATTGCTTTCATTCTTCTGTGCAGCATAAAATGGTTAGGGTTGGAAAGGACCTTAAGATGATCAAGTTCCAACCCTTCTGCCATGGGCAAGGACACCTCAACCTAGACCATGTCACCCAAGGCTCTGTCCAACCTGGCCTTGAACACTGCCAGGGATGGAGCACTCACAGCTTCCTTGGGCAACCCATTCCAGTGCCTCAGCACCCTCACAGTAAAGAACTTCTTCCTTATATCCAATCTAAACTTCCCCTGTGTAAGTTTAAGCCCATTACCCCTTGCCCTATCACTACAGTCCCTAATGAAGAGTCCATCCCCAGCATCCCTATAGCCCCCCTTCAGATACTGGAAGGCTGCTATGAGGTCTCCACGCAGCCTTCTCTTCTCCAGGCTGAACAGCCCCAACTTTCTCAGCCTGTCTCCATACAGGAGGTGCTCCAGTCCCCTGATCATCCTCATGGCCCTCCTCTGGACTTGTTCCAACAGTTCCACGTCCTTTTTATGTTGAGGACACCAGAACTGTACACGGTACTCCAAGTGCTGTGCATGTACAAGCATGGATCTTCTCTTGCAGCTGTACTCTTGGCTTCCATGTTTTCAACTTCATAGTTCTTTGAGGGGACAGAAACTTTAGTAATAATTTCAAAACTAATTAAAAGAGCTCATTCATATGCCTTGCTGTCACAGCAGTACTTTAATGCTCTTTCTTTGTGATACATCTTTTAATTTATAAATGGAATTTTATTACATATCTGTATTACTTATATATGACTGCATATCGTATAGTATGGAAATAATTTATGCAAGGGAAGCATCTTTCTAATTATATCTTGAAACTAAGTATTTGAGAGTTCTGCCTAATACAAATTGTCACCCATTTTGGTCTTTATTAGCTGTGTGTTTTCTTAGAGCTTGCTGGAAGTCACAAGGTTACAAGGTGTCTGCAACCCAGAACTTGGCTTTGGTTAGAGGCACTGTGAGGGTAGCACTGGGTCCCTTCACAGAGACTTCCCAGTAGAAAGAATTACATGATAAATCCTCTTCATGTAAGTCCTACCCACAGAAAGAAATTACTGAGGTGTGAATGCCTTAAGAGTGGAATTGGAAATAGAGATTGCAGATGGGTAAAACTGGTGAACAGCTTTGTTTCCTATTGAATTATCAGCTGATCTTGGAAGTATTTTAACTTAGTGCTGAATAGCTGCACAATACCATGTTCACTTGGTTATTTAAGTATATTGCAGGAGCAAGAGGAAAGCTGACTTTTTAAGTGTGGTGACTCACCTTTGGCTTTGCAGGTAGAGCACGGAACCACATCACATACTCTTTAGCTGAAGAAATTTTGAAGATGGGCTTTTTCAGACACTTTTAATATTGCCCTCCTACAGCAGCGGTGCATGGGGTTTGAAACTGTAAGGCCTGGAGGAGTTGAGCAAGTAAGGTGTAATCAAATCTTAGCAGGGTGTGTTGGCTGGGTATCTTCTGTGAAAACCCAGTTTCTGTGTATTGCGTCAGTGAAGAAAGATGTAAGTCTTAAACTGTTGTTATGAGTACGTGAGCTGTTTCCATTCAGAGTCCTTGCTGGGTCTGGCAAGCCTTTTTTTTTTTTCCAGCATTTCTAGTTGGGAGTCCAGAAATGGTTCTGCCTGAGCACTGAGCTGTTCCTGTGCCTGCCATCTGGTGGCCAGATACCACAGCTAACTGGGCTGGCTGCGGACCCCAGCTGTCTTAGGGGTATATCCGTCTTAGGCATACTGGAGAAAAGGCAGATCCTTTTCTCACTGAGCTGTGTTTCAGGTGGAGATTGTTTTTTGCATGGTTTCCCTAGAAGACAAATAAATTTTCTAAGTTCCCGTTACTATCTTTCTTCTCTTTCCTAGGAGATGATGGAGCTCCTAGAGGAAGATCTCACCTGTCCCATTTGCTGTAGCCTGTTTGATGATCCTCGTGTCCTGCCCTGTTCCCACAATTTCTGCAGAAAGTGTTTGGAAGGAATTCTTGATGGAAATGTGCGGAATGTTCTTTGGAGGCCGTCCCCTTTCAAGTGCCCCACGTGCAGGAAGGAGACTCCTGTTACTGGTGTCAACAGTTTGCAAGTCAACTACTCCCTGAAAGGTATTGTGGAGAAGTACAACAAAATCAAAGTAACTCCAAAAATGCCCGTGTGCAAAGTGCACAGCGGGCAACCCCTTAACATTTTCTGCCGGACAGACATGCAGCTGATCTGTGGGGTTTGTGCCACCCGTGGTGACCATACAAAGCATGTTTTCTGTTCTATTGAAGAAGCTTATTCCCAGGAGAAGCGGGCTTTTGAAACACTTTTTCAGGGCTTTGAAACGTGGCGTTGTGGAGATGCCCTCTCGCGGCTGGATACCTTAGAAACCAGTAAGAGGAAAGCTCTGCAGATGCTGACCAAAGATTCTGACAAAGTGAAGGAATTCTTTGAGAAGCTACAGCACACGCTGGAGCAGAAGCGCAATGAGATCCTCTCTGACTTTGAGACCATGAAACTTGCAGTGATGCAGGCCTATGACCCGGAAATCAATAAACTGAACACCATTCTGCAGGAGCAGCGGATGGCTTTTAACATTGCAGAGGCCTTCAAAGATGTGTCTGAACCCATTATATTTCTGCAGCAGATGCAGGAGTTCAGGGAAAAAATCAAGGTGCTTAAAGAAACTCCTTTACCTTGTTCCAGTGTGGACATCAGCCCTACAATGAAGAGCTTTGATACCAGCCAGTGGAATGGCATAAAGCTAGTTGATGTGGACAAACTTTCCTTGCCTCAGGAAAACAATACTCTTAAATTCAAGATTTCCTCAGTCTTTTCGCGCCGATTTATAGTGAATTCTCTTATTTGCTTGCTTATTCTTGCTGTCACCAGGATGTCCTTTGTGGAGTCAGTTGTTGACAATCTCCAGTGCTGGAGATCTCAATTCTTTGCAATTAACTTGTCCTATTTGGCAGATACGGTGGAGATAGCAGATCACGCAGTCTTTTACTGGGAACAGATGACAGATGGAGCTTCACTTCTAAGAGAAAAGTGTAAAAACTATACATTGGTTGTACTGGATAATGTTGCACAGTTTGTGTGCAAGTATAAACTGTTGTGAAGGCCATGCAGGAATAGGAGAAGTAAGAGAGATCTGGTGAGGAAAACTTCTTAAAATTGATTGGGTTTTTAAGGCTTCCAGTGAAAACATTCCAAGATTCAAAATGTTTCCAAAACATTCATACAATTCAGATAGTTTGAGTGCTGATTAACTGGAAGATGAAATGAAGCTTTGAAAAATACATTGTTTTGGATTCTTCTTTTAGTGGTGATTATGGGAATATTATTCACTGTAAATCATTCTTCTTACCAAAATATAGGGCGAAACTGTGTATGTAGTTTAATGTTAATTGTAGAATAAGATAAAAAGTGTCACTTCCTCAGAGGTCATATTTAAAAAACTGTTTTTTCCTAAATGGGAGGTGGTTGGCAAAGAGGAAGACGAGTTGTGACTGAGAAGAGCACTGTATGGAGGCTGGCTGAGGACTGCCCTGCCACTGCAGAATACAGTGTGCATCTTTCACATTCTGGAACCACTTTCTATCTGAGGATGTTGCTTCTTGCTAGAACAGACACATGTATTTTTTTGTATAACCAGATGTTGTGATTATCCTGTGCATTCAGATTACTGTAGGTTGTTGTTTACACATTCTATACAAAAAATGTGTCTTCAGGACAAGCATAAATTCTAGGGTAAAGAGAAATCAGTTGAGGTTGGTAAGAGAAGAGCAAGCTATAAAGTAGTATGTGCTCTACAGGTAGTACATACTCTGCAGTCTACTTTTCCAGCATCAAATTGCAGGGATAACCGAGCTGTCTTACTAAATCCATGCTTCTCTGAAGCCACACTTTCTTGAAAGCGGCCTTAATGTGTTGAGTTTAGTGCAGGTAAAGGCATGCCTGGGTCAGCTGCAGGAAGGCAAGCTTGCGCTCTAGCCCTGCAAAGGTGGCAGGTAGAGCAGTTTCCCACTTGTCCCTCTCCGACTCCACATCATCATTTCAAAACCCAGGAAAAATGATGGGATGTTTCCTTGGAACAGAGTGCATAAAGTGACAGGAGTATGGATGTTGTTAGTGCTTTAGCATTGGAACATACATAGGTTCTTCTAGTGTTACTGTATTTTTGGATACCGTGTTTCAGGAGTTAGTTGAATTTTCTGAGAATATTGACTTGGCCGTGGGTAACAGTGGTCTAAAGTGAACTGTAAGCTTGAGTTCTTTGAAGTGCCCTTCATTGAGAGCATACAATACTAAGATGTATTGCTTGAAGAGCATCTAACCTTTTGCAGTCGTCCTGTGAGCACCAGTATATATAGAATGAAAACATGTAGTTGACTTTTCTGGGAAACAAACACGAAGTGTGACATACTTTGGGGATATTCATTAGCCTCTCTCAAGGTTTAATAAGTTGTGACGGTCAATTCACTGTCTTCCAGTAGTCTTTGCAAGCTGTTCATTTCAAAAATGAAACATTAGATTCCAAGAATCAAAGTTTCCAAGCAACCAAACCCTGCAAACAAAACTATTGTACATGATATTTACATCTTTGTTGCCTGGGAATACTGTTGCTGCTCCACACCTCACTCCAAACACTTGGTAAAATCACTGAATGGTTCTTGCAGTTGCAGATGCACTGCAGTTTAGGAAAGATCAAGTCACAGACACGTAGATCAGAGACTTACAATTTGTGAGTGGCTGAGATAGCAATGAGTAATCGAGAGGTGGTTGTTCTGAGTGTGGGAGGGGTGAGATTTGTAACCAGGGCTTCTACCTTGCAGCAGTTCCCAGAGTCCAGGCTGGCACGGATGTTGAATGATGATAACCAGGAATTCAAACTGGTGAATGGAGAGTTTTTTGTGGACAGAGATGGAACTTTGTTTAGTTACATCATGGACTTCTTGAGGACTCTCCACGTCTCCTTACCAACTGATTTCTCAGACTATCAGAGGCTGCAGAGGGAAGCAGAATTCTATGGGCTCTACACTCTGGCTGACCTCCTGAGCCAAGAACACTTGCTGAAGCCAAGGCTGGAGATCTTGGAAGTGCGTTTTTCTCTCCAAGAGATGCAGGCCTTTTTCCGGATCTTTAGTTCCTGCAGTGCCACTGTTGAGGCACTAGCTGAAAAGATCACAGTGTTCATGGTGCAGCAGTCAGGACAGAGCTGGAACAGCTGTTTTCCTTCTCAGAAACCCCTTGTTCCACTTCCTTTGGAAAGACCTTCTCATCATGACATGGTTTTTCAGTGCGGTACTGACCTCTCTGCTGGTGACCAGTTCGTGGCCAGGTACTCTCCCTTGTGTGACTTCTCATTACAGAGATGTCGTAATGACTTCTAGCTCATAAAGTACATGCTACATGCTAGCAAAGACCATTTTAAGGTAGCTATCGGACAGCTGCCTGAGAGAAAAGAAGTAAGTTTCCTTTTTTCTGCTAGCTTAGTATTATCTTTTTCTAGTTCTGAAATACTCAAGTTTTAATTTGTTACACAGATTTGCCTATTCTTCAGCTTTCTAAAATGCTGATCTTGATGTTTGGGTTTGAGTTCTCTTGGGTCTTTCTCTCCCTCTCCCCTTTCCTCCTCATTCACTCTCTCAGGCTTTAGAATTCCATGGCATCAGTGACCTTCTAGAGGACTTGAAAAAGCACCAAAGCAAAATCAAGCAAAGCAAACAAAATAAATAAGGTATTAAGCACCGGGGAAGCCTAAAATCTCTAGTAGCTCATGGTCCAAAAGACTTTCATAGGGAAAAGAGGCAAAAGGGAGCAGCTGAACAGGGCTAAAGACACCAGTGGAACTAGGATACCAATTTGGGGGCTGAAAGCTTTTGTATAACCTTTTCCTAGGGGGAGGGAGAAGGGGCAGATTATTAATTCTATGCTACACAGTGGCTTTTCTTTCAATTCAAGAGCCAGGTTTTGTTTTTATTAATATGACTGTATATCAGTGACTTTTGTGATGGCAGTATTGTATTCTAATGACAACTTACATTTTTTAAACAAGCTTTTGCTGGATGCCTCTACTGTATGGAGACACGTTTTTACTGTATAAGAAAACATAGCCTAATTTGTTCTCTGTGGCTACTAGAACATCTGGGATTTTAAGGAAATTTTATTGAAATATTTCCAAAAGGGTTAGTCTGAGTATGTGAATCAACCCAGCAGTCTTTTGATTTATAATAAAGTTTATATTCTAGCTTCCTTTAGCTAAGGAAGTAGAAGAAAAACTACTTTGCATTTGCAAAGCAGCATACATTTATGGGCTAGACCTTAACTTTATAATGCATTATTCATCTTAATGGACTAACAACTGGTTGAGTAGGTTATGGCAACTTAAATAGGGGAAACTGTTCTTGCTCCTTTATTTCTTTAGACTTAGTAAAAGTATTCCTCTGCAGAATCTTGAGTAATGAAACAAGTTCAGTTCGATTATGTTGCCTGCTGAATTTCTATTGACTTATCCTTTGTGATGGCACATACTCTTTCACCTTTTTTTGTGCTTTCTGTGATAATTTGTTGTACTTTCCTCTGAACCATGGAACAGTTTCACCCTTGTGAACTTATGTGTTTTGTAATAGTATTCTTACCTGAATTTTGTTCCTTGCAATGTCTGGATAGATTCTTAAACTGTACTTTATATCAAGTAAAATAATTTGAGCAATGTGAAAATGGTTTTCATACGTGCTACCACAAGACCTGCTGTACAAAGTAATTTTGCAATAAATGTCACTGTTTGTAGAGAGATCCTGTGTAATGAAAAGTGGTGCTCTTGGGGTGAATGTGACTTCACTGTCCTTTCCATCATCTACCCTTACCTGAAAAACTGTTGTGGCATGATGTATAGTGTTACATAAATGAAAAGAGGTGGAGGTCAATCACAGCTATTTGTTAGGTAAGTAAGTTTTGGGGTGGAGGTGAAAGAAGAGTGCTTCTTCCCCAGCATGTAACTGGATGAGCTGGGAATTACTGTTCTAATAATGAGGGGAAGAGTTAAACTGTCCTTAAAGAAGGTAAAAAATACATGGAACCTTGGTTGCCGTAAACCCGTGCAACTGTGCTGACCTGCACTATCTGAGGCCTGGATTGTTTTTATAGAAAGATCTATTCTGTCCTTCAGGAAGTCACTGAAGTGTGTTGTAACTGATTATTTTTTCCTTATTTTAGGTATGTTTCCATAAAGCCAGATAACAGAAAGCTGATTAACGGTACAAACGTGCTAGGCCTGCTACTTGACACTTTACTCAGAGATGGATTTCACCTCATAAGCACCAGGACAGTCTCTGGTGAAGACAAAGTGGAATGCTTCAGTTTTGAACGGGTGAAGAGGCCAGCAGGCCTTGCCATCACACTGAAGAACACCCCAGGGAGCTCCAGGGTGGCACAGGCAAAGAGAAGCCAAGTGCAGAAAGGGAAATAAAGGCTTTTCTTTTCATCTGCTGAAGGTGGAAGAGGGGTGTGTCAGTGCTAGTGGCCTTTTTCTGACTTGTTTCAAACTGCAACTATTGAGGGAAGGAACAAACAAACAAGTTGGGTTTTTTTCTAGTATTCGGAAGGAAAAAAATTGCTTTCCTGCTTTTTACTACTCCACCCTCTTCAACTCTAAATAAAAGAACCACAGATCCACTGTGGACCAGTTTCCAGTGTTTTCAAAGGTTTTTGTTTTTCTCTCTGGCTAAAATTTGTATTAGGATTCACAAAAAATCAGCTGTTCCTGCTAGAGAATCATTTCTATGTCCTGTGCTAATCTGCAAGTAGATTTTAAATACATGATACTACATGAGGAAATAACAGATTGACACAACTGTCATCCCAACAGTTTGGAGAAGTGGCTGGAGAAGGAATGCAAACCTCAACGACTGAATATTGCTTCTGCTTTCAAGAGATGCACGTACACTTAACTCTCTTGCAGTTAGGAGAAAGCAATGTAAGAAACACCCCAGGTTGTATTGCTGGATGGCTACAGGCATGAGAAAGTGGCTCTGTGAAGCCACAAATAGTGAGTCATGAAATAACGTGTTACTATTGTCTCTTGCAGAATACTCCTCTGTCCTCTCCTCCCACTCCAAAGGCATTAAACTGCTCTGTAGTGCTGAGAATGAAACGATAAAGGTCTTTGTGAACAAAGGGTCAGCTGATTTCTAGAGCTATACAAGATTTTTAGAACTATGAAAAGACTGAAAATGTGATAAACAGTCCCTCAGATGGGAGAATTAGTACAATTTTAAGCATAGTACAAAGGATTAAGAAACTTGTCAAGTGCAAAACATATTTAGGAGGAAGGCTTGGCAGAAGTGGCTTTAAAAGCCTTGTGAATATCAGCCCTGTACAATGCTTTGTAAAGATGCCAAAATTAGCTCAAGTACCAGGAGAGGTAAGTTAATGAGGCCTTAGAAATAAAAAATCTTTTGTCCTCCAAGACAGGGAAAGACAGCAATAACTTCAAGGGTTCATTATTTGAATCTGACTTTTGATGTTGATAAAACACCATCTTCCCAAAGTTACAAACAGCCAAGTAGAGTTTGTTCGGGCTGTTTTGGCTGGCTAATTAGACCTGCCTTTTCATTAGCTTCAAAGTGTGTTTTATAACTTTATTTGCAGTACTTAAAAATGGGGTGGGTGGTGGAAATCACCTGTCTGTTTCTTGCCCTTAGGAGTTTTCATGAATTGGATTTTCCCATGCTGGTGGTGCCGCTATCAGGCAGCTCTTTTCTTTTGCAGTGCATTTTAGCTTAACACAAGCTCAGAAGTTCAGTGGCAACAATGAGGTCCTCTTTCTCCAGAGCCTTCTGGGTTGAGATTAATGTGATTATGGGACTACAGCTCTTAAACTGCTTACAAGTTTTATAATGTAATAGATGTTGAGGAACATTAGAGTGGATGCTTTCAGTTCAAATGGGAATTTTTGTCAATAACATCAATATGTTCATCTCGATACATTTTTTACCGTGAGAACCATCATTCACTGGAACAACCTCCCCAGGGATGTGATGGAGTCCCCATTGCAGAAGATTTTCAAGATGTGGTTGGAGAGGATGTGCAATGATCTCCCCTGGGCTCCCTTTCCCACCAAAGGCTGGACAGATGATCATTTCAGGTGCCTCCCAGCCCAGCCTGTTCTGTGAAGACCCTGTGAAGGTCTGTCAGAAAGCCTATTATGGTGGCCTTTGAAAGGCCATTTTGCTGAGGGCAGCATTTGGGTGACACAGCAGACAAGCTGTATGGGGAGACTGTCCTGACAGGTTGCTGTACTACAAAGACAACACTAGTTTTCCAAGTTCATTTTGAGGTCCGTGTACTGACTTTCCAGGAAAGTTCCCATTCCTCAACTTGAGATAAAACTGAAAACAGTAATGACAAGTATTGAAGGGGTGAGCGACTGTGAATATTGCTGGTGAAGAGGCTTACCAACAATAGCAAGAAGCACAAGACAAAAATGACAGTTTTCTAGAGGGAAAGGCAAAAAAAGGGATTTGAAGCTGTGTTTAAACACCACACCTTCAGTGATGGCTGATAGCAGCAGTGTTGACTGAGAATAGTATCAGAACACCTGATAGTAACAAAATTAGGCTACTTCACCAAGCACAGAAATAGTGAGTTTATTTTTCTGCTGCAGCAGCCACTTTGAAAACTAAAGTTTGGATTACATTTTTCTAAACAAATGGAAAGAAAATAGGAAATATTTCAATTTTAAAAAGCCCTGGAGTTTTAAACTGTGCCGTCACTGATGCTCCATGGCTTTGGCAAAGTGACTAGTTGAAACAACCATTTCAGGAGCACCTTGTGATGGGCTAGTACTGAACACTCCCTGGTTCCCATCATGGGTTAATTTTTATTCAGCACAAACATCATCCTATGAATGTAATATTTTGGCTCTGGAAAAATGTACCTTCTTTGAAGGAACGCACATTCCTGGGTTTCTTGATACAGAAAGTGAAAGCATCACTGATAGACCTACAGGTGGCATAGCTTCAAGCTACAACTAAATGGCAGTAATCACAGAGGAAGGGTGAACGTATGTTCATTTGCAGACAAATGAGTATGAAAATAGCACCAATTTACTATGAGGATCCTCAGCTGGCCTGGGTAGCTGCTGCCCTCCACCTTGTAAGACTGTAGAGTGTTGCTGAACCAGGATGGCAATTTTTAATGTGCCCTCTTTGGAGTGTTACACAGCATATCCTGCAGGCACTGGGGATGTTATTTAGAAGAAAGAGTAACTAATAGCTCTCTAGTAACTCAAAATGCGATCTCTGCAGTGTGGAAAGTTTATTGTAGGTGGCTTAGCCATGCTTTTACATGTGACAGAAGAAGGAGCTCTGACTGCTCACATCTCAGTCTATATTAAATAGCAATGGAAGTTTGAAACATTTACACATTTTTTTCCAATGAGGTTGGAATTTGGGATCTCTGATATGATTCGTCATTGCCAACTTTATCAAGAGAATTCCTTTTTCCTGGGAAGGTGCAAGACTTACTGATTTCAGTAGACTTAACTGCTGTGTTTGCCTTCTTATTCTTCCTTTGATCCAGCAAAGATGTGCAAACTGTTCTGCTCCCTGAGATGCCGTAGTGCTGGAGGTCAGTCCTGTCGCTCACTTACATCAAGCAGTGAGCCCTCTTCTGCTTTTTAACACACAAGGGGACTGCCATAGCAGTGAGATCACTAAGAGGAAAGCAAACTCAACAGTAAGGTAGCACCATTCCTCTGTTCTACATGAACTGCAGGTTTATGTGGCAGAAACAGATCATCAAAAAAGAGGTGACAGTTTGCTGGATTTGCAAAGGCAGGTGATTCAGAAAGACAACACTTCATTTGTCTTATCTTTTTTATTTTAATCACTTTCCCCTCATTTATAGTTGGGTTTCATCCTGTATTTCTATATTCAAGGCTGCCAAGGGATTTATCAGTAGTCTCGTGGTGCCTATTGGGTGTCCCAACAGGATAAAGACATGCCACTATTTCCATCCCCCTGTTTTTGCCCCGTTTGCTTCCTTTTATAGTGATTGGTTACATATTTCTGCTTTTAAGTAACATTCTTCTTCACACCCCAGGAAGTTCTCCCATGTTCTTCTTATCCCTTTGGGGGCCATATCATTTATTCTCCACCTGAATTATTCAGTAATCTGCTGATACCAGGAAGGAGTCTGACATGAAATACCTCCATGTTCCTTGGGTATTGATTTCAATGTTGATTCATGAGGGGTTTTATTCTTTTTGGAAGTGCAGTCTCTGCATTCTTTATAGATTCTGCACTCAGTGCTCATAAGATTGTGTAACTGATTCAGAATAGATGCTTAAATAAAGCTATTGCAATTGACACTACATTTAGACTAAAACCAACTGATCTCTTAGTGCTGACCGTAGTACTGGGAAGTTTCCCCTTTACTAAATAATTCCAAACCATTTTTCACATCCCTGCATAGTTGAACCTCATGGAAATAGTACAAGACTCCACTCTTAAGGTGCGGTATATGAGGAACTAATAGCCACAGGGCAAAATAATGATGCTGGAGTAACTGCACCCTGTCCTGCTTCGACAGACTGGCAAACAAGGGTGGTGACTTCTGTTCTGGCTTCAAAGAAACTTTTCTCCACATTGGGCTGTTCCCACTTTTTACCTCTTTAGGTTGGTTTCCAGTTCCCCAGTGCACAAAAATAACTCCTTTAGTCTGAGCTGAGCAAGGCTGATGTGCTTGTGTCTGTCTTTGGAGGGGGCGAGTTGAAGGTATATCAACACACAGTCTGGGTGAGACTGTTTTGATTCGCAGCTGAATTCACTACCAGGAAGGCACCAAAGTGGAACAGAATTCCTGTTGGACATTACAACAAAGTGTTCAGAGCTTTGGGTTTCCTTATTTTTTTATTTCATTTGTTCTCAGATTGCTGGAAAGTGTTATCGAATATTCATTGGGAAACAAGCTGGGAGCTATCCAAGATGGGGAGGGAAACGCATTGCCTCTTACTCCTTCCCTCTGATTTGTGCTGAACCATTGCCAGGCTTTAGCTTTACAAGGTTTATTTTTATCGATTTTCAACAATCAACAGTGGGAGGATCTACAATAAAAGAGTTACAGTGCATCATGAGGAAATACAACTCCTTCCCAAATACTGTATTGATCTATTCCCAGATGCTACTGAAAAAGCATATGAAATCCCAAAATGAAGTCCAGCGATGGAGAACTTCCTCTCTCTAGTGACAGATGCATATGGCTGTTATGTCTTAGGAAAACAATAAAAGGGAAGGGAGTGACTCTGCTTCTCTGACCATATCTTCAACAGCCCAGTTAAATCTGTCAACTCGGTGTAATCCACATAAATAAAGAATTTGGGAATCAAGAGAACTGCTAGTGCGTTGAAGAGACACATTCTTTGAAGCTGCCTCTCCTGCTGCAGTCAGGCCATAATTAGTCACAGAAGGCCTTGTTGTGACTAGTTAATGGATGGACCAACAATGATGTGAATAGTCTGGAACCAGCTGGAGATATGCCTGGAGCCCTGAATACTCTCAAATGGGTGGGTGGGATGTAAATCATTAGTCATCATATAAAATACAAATAAATCTGAGTTCTATTAAAAAAAAAGGGCATGTCCGTTCTCTAGACCATCGTGTAGCTTCTGCTGA